TAGATAGATAGATAGATAGATAGATAGATAGATAGATAGATAGATAGATAGGGGTGTATGGTGATGGACAGATTAGATTAGATTAGATTAGATTAGATTAGATTAGATTAGATTAGATAGCTGGGGTGTATGGGGATGGAGGGATGGATGGACAGGGTGTATTGGGAAGGAGGGATGGATAGATCGCCCAAGGGTCATAGACAGGCAGAGGTTTTCTGGTGGAGAATCAGCTCCCGGTGCAACGCTGCAGTCAGAAGCGCGACCCCCATCCTGGGCTGCATAAACGGGCATCTCCCGTCGGAGCAGAGAGGTTTATTTTCCCCCTGTGTCTGGCCCTGGTGCGACCGCGGCTGGGACCCTGTGTCCAGTTCTGGTGCCCACCACTCAAGACGGGGGTTGATCAACGGGAGAGGGGTCGAAGAAGAGCTGCGAGAACGATCGAAGGGTTAGAAAACCTGCCGTACAGTGCTCGGCCTGTTGAGTTTAGCAGAGGGACGGCTCGGGGGTGGCTTGGGCAGTGTCAGTAAGGAGCTGCCCAGGGAACAAATATTTAATAACGGGTTCGTCAGTCTAGCGGCGGCAGGTGGAACCCGAGCCAGTGCTGGGAGTTGAGGCCAGACAGACTCGGACTGGAAAGGAGACGAGCAGATCTGCTCTGGGCATCGTTTCAGGGCGGTTCTGCGGCCTGGGCCGCCCGGGGCTCAGCCCCGACCATCACAGTGGGCCCGTCTTTGCTTGGAATCTAGGAATTTGACACCTAGATTTCTGCTGTCGCGTTGGTTTCTTCCCCATCCCCGATCGGCGGTGCAGGGGGCCCACGCAGCCCATCTCTGCCCCAGCGGTGCCCTCTGCCAGCGGGCCTGGCCCAGCTGGGCCGCAGCTCTGGGAGAGGTGCCCCCGCCCCAGGCCCAGCGGAGTCAGGGTGGGGACGATGGGGATTTTCTAGGTTTCAGGGCAGGGCAGGGATGAAAATGGCCAAGGGACCCAGCTTTCTTCCCCTCCACTGCTGGGAGAGCTGCGGAGGAAGGGGGCAGCCCCTGGAGTCCGGGGCCAACCCTGCTTCTCTCTCCATGTGCCGGGGGCAGGACCACGGGGCCCGGTGGTTGCAACCGCGTCTGGAGCCGCGCACATGCCATGGGGAGTGGGGGGCGAACACCCGCCAGCCACATTCATATAGGTGGCCAGGCCAGGTGACCACCCCGGAGCAGCGGAGAGCGCGCAGCAACCAGACAGGCCCATCTGCTTGTGAAGCAATGCACTATGGGATACCAGTGGGAGGCTAACAGTATTACAAATTATTACGGTGAGTGCCATAATTCATTCTTTGTATTGTGGTCGCCTCAGGCCCCCATTGCGCCAGGCGCTGCACATTTTAATTGTACATTTCAATTGTGATTAGGTGTATTATGATAGCCCTGAAGCCATGGACCAGGCCACACTGCGCCAGGTGCTGTACATTTTAATTGTACATTTCAGTTGCTATTAGGTGTATTATGGTAACACCCCAGCCATGGACCAGGCCCACACTGAGCCAGGCACTGTATATTTTAATTGCTATTAGGGTATTACAGTAGCACCCCAGCCATGGACCAGGCCCACATTGTGCCAGGCGCTGTATATTTTAATTGCTATTAGGTGTATTATGGTACCACCTCAGCCATGGACCAGGCACGCACTGTGCCAGGTGCTGTATATTTTAATTGCTATTAGGTGTATTACGGTAGCACCTCAGCCATGGACCAGGCCCACATTGTGCCAGGCGCTGTATATTTTAATTGCTATTAGGTGTATTATGGTACCACCTCAGCCATGGACCAGGCACGCACTGCGCCAGGCGCTGTATGTTTTAATTGCTATCCGGTGTATTATGGTAGCTCCTAGGTTGCGCCAGGCGCTGTACAAACACAGACCAGAAAGCCAGCTCCTGCCCCACAGGGCTAAGCCCAGATCCTCGAAGATATTGAGATGCCTATGGGAGTTAAGTGCTCGCTACCGTAGGATCTAACCGCAGCGCTGGCAGCTCGTGTGAGATCCGGGGCTTTTCTTAAAGCCCCAGCTCCCGGATTCAGGTGATGAGGGGATTTCAGCTGACTGTCCAGGAAGAATTTTCTGAATCTCCTAGAGGCAAAGCGATGTTTGAAACCATGAACCCCCCTCCCCCAGGAAATCAGAAGGCCGATAGAAAGGCCCACGATTGTATTGCTTTCAAACAAATCCCATGGTTGTAAGCCGCTCTGCTGATTTTTGGTGGGGCCTGACTCGGGCGTTCGGAACGGCACTCGGTCCAGTTAGGCCGGCGTGGGGACGTCCCCACCTGGCCCTTTGGCCGATACAAACCCCATCGAACTGCCGAGTGTCCCGAGGCAGGAGATAAACCAACGCGCCCAAAACCGAGCAGCTTTGGCTGGGAAAAAAGCAACGTGCTTCCTGGGCACCTTCCCCGGGGGGCCCAAAGCCCCTGCCCCAGTCACTAGCACGGCCCAGATCCTCACAGCTACGCCCGTGCCAAGCCCCTTGGAGGCTGCGCCCAGGCCCGAGCCAGAGAGACTGCAGAGAAGGGGCCAGTCGGGGCTGGGACGGGCAATTTAACCTCAGTTTGGGGGATCCACCCCCCCAATTACCCAGCACCATCGCCGGACGGCTGCAGGGGAGGGGGGTGTAATTGTCTTTTGGAAAAAAAACCCTAGAGGTGGGACAATAGAGGGGTCTTGAAGTGCGTTACGGATCCCCTCAGAGCTGGGGCCGATAATTGGTTAATTCCAATCCTCTGCTCTTAATTAGCACTGACTGGTGGGGGTTCAGCTTTAACAACCGAAGTGCCTCGAAAGGGTTAATTGCAGGCTGGGGGGGAAGAGAGGGGGATTGATCTGTCTGTCTGGGGGGCGGGGGAGTATTTTGAGGTGCTGCTGCAAATTCAAAGGGGGAAGGGTCCCCAGACAAATTGGCTCGTTAGGGAATCAGCCAGTGCCTGGAAAAGGGCGGCTAACGAGCACCACCTCGCCCCCACCAACGGGGGAATTTATAAATAGATCAAAGGGTGGCTCCTTTCCTCTCTTCAGTGGGTCCCCCATGGGCTGCAGGTGTGGGGGGGGAGCACCTGGGACTAGCTGATGTTTTCCCTGCTTCTTTGGGAAGGGGGAGGTACAGATTAGAGGGGGTGACAGGGTAGGATTGGGGGCACCCAAACCTGGAGGGGTCTAGCAGGAAATGAATGGCCAGGATTCGGGGTGGGGACTGGCTGGTGAGGGGACAGGTTGAGATTGAGGGGCAGAGTAAAGGGGATTGTGCCTGCTAGCCAGGCATCTTGCAAAGCTGTAGTTGGGTGAACACAAAGGGGGGGTGTCTCCATTTAAAAACGAAACAGGGAGGCTGCGTTGGGTGCTGGGGAGGCGCTGGGACAGAGCCGCCCCTCCCCAGGCTAAGTCGTTCCCTCTCCTCCTTGCCCAGTTGCGGCGTGTCCCTCGGGCCCGTGCTGGGGGCCGCTGGGGCCGCGTGATGTGATGCCTCGGCCGTGAGCCCGGAGCCATGCCGAGCCCGGAGAGAAGGGAGTTGGCAGAGGCTGTTGTCCGCCACCTGCGCCGTGCCGGCGTGAGGCTCAAGCGCTGGAAGCCCCCCCTGAGCGACTCGCCCGTAAGTGGGGGAGGAGTGGGCCCCCTCTGGGCTCCAGGCCGCTGCGGCTGGGGTAGACCCCGTTGTAGACCCAGCCAGCCCTGCGATGGAGCCGGGCGGTTTCGTTAACAGGGGAGGCATGTGTATGATCTGATTGTCGGGACTCCTGGGTTTCCCCTCCCAGCTTGGGAAGAGGGAGTGGGGCCTAGTAGTTGGAACCAGAGGGGCGGGGGAGCCAGGACTCCTGGGTTTCATTCCCAGCTCTGGTTGGGCAAAGTGGGTGCACCTTTATGCCTCAGTTTCCCCACCTGCCATGGAAATGGGGGCCCCCCTTTTGCGAAGCGCTTTGCCAAGCTGCCCCCCTCACCCCTGAACCAGCCGGGCTCTGCTGCTGCCCCCCCCCCCCCCGGTAACCAGGTCACGCTGGCAGCGGTTCCCTTATTGTGGGCGCCGAGTGCGCGGAACAGGATGTTGCTCTGCACTTCAAAGCAGCAGCGTCTCTGACCCGATTTCTCCCCTTGTAAGCCCTGTCCCGCTGCCTAGCCCCACAGGCATGGAGCCCCGCCCCCCGCCGGGCGCTCTGCCCCGGCTTTTCCCAGAGAGGGCAGATATTGGTGGGAGGACCGGGAGTGAGGGACCCCCTTTTATCTTCAGCTCTGCGTGAGGTTTCGCTGCGGGGCGTTGGGATGAACCGAGCTGCCTTCTGCTGACTACAATCAGACCGGCTCCTCTGTGTGTCATACGCCCTCTACTGCTCGCAGCTCGGGGGGGGACTCTTCTTTAGGCCGGGGGCAATGGGGCAGCTGGCAGGGAGCCTGCTGCTCTTGGCCACAGCTCTTCCACGCTGGCCGCGCGGGCGCCGACCCCATCCTCTGCCCTCCAGTCTGATGCCCAGAGGCTGTGGTGATGGGCACCGGGGGGGCAAGCCAGACAGCTCAGAGCTGCGGCCCAATGCCAAGTCCTGTCTCTTCTCTCTCTCCTCTCAGTGCCAGGAGAAATCTCCCCTGGCATCACCCGCCGGCCCGTTCGGGACCCCGCTGCACGCGCTGCCCCTCTCGGAGAGTGTGGAGGGAGTACCGCGGTGAGTGGGGGGGCTGGATCTGCGGGGGGGGGCCAAGGGAGAGCTTGGCACTGGTATTGGATCCAGATCTCAGGAAACGCACCTCCAATAACTTCATGGTTGGGCTGGAGGGAAGGGGGGGGGTACAGACCCCCCCCCGCCCTGCTCGCAATGGCCCTGCCCCTGTGTTTGGTAGTCCTGGCCCCACCTCGTTTGAAGCATCAGGGACAGCTACACAGGGTGTGGGTTGATTGGGGGGGGGTGGTCTCCTCCTCAGACCACCCCTGCCTCTTGGAGGGCGACATCCCTCCCCGGAGCAGAGCTGTGGTGGGGTCCAGCCCCTTGCTCACAGAGACCCCCGCTGTGGGGGTGTCGGTAGAGAGCCCCCGCGGAGCAGTGGGTTTCAGAGAGGGGTAATGGGGCAGTCCCCTCCCCCCAGGGCAATTGTCTCAGGCTCTCGGCAGACTCAGGCCGACGTGCTGGGGGACGCTGGCCAGGAGAGGTTCGGCCACAAGACCCCCAAAGGGTTAAGGGGGGGAGGGGCTGATGCGGACTGAGAACCCCCCCAAACTGCTGCCTCCTTAGTGCCCCCCCCGGGTCTGCCCCCAGGTTCCTGGTGCAGATCTGCGAGGCCCTGCGGCGGCATCTGCACACGGAGGGGCTGTTCCGGAAATCCGGCTCCGTGACCCGCATCAAGGCCTTAAAGGTACGTGGCCCCCTCCCCCACTCAGGGTCAGGGCCTTGGGGGCAGGCTCCCCCCCGCCCCGCTCATCCGTGGTAACGAACCCCCTCCCCCACCCCGTCGCAGGCTGACTCTGCACGTACATCTCAGCTGCGAGAAGGCCCCGGCGCGTGGCTGATGGTGGTTAGTGATTGTGCTCCAGGCAGGGCAAGATCCGGCGCCTGCGCGGGGGGGATGGGAGCCCTCCCCATGAACCCTCCACCCCTGGGGTGTGAGGAGACGCTCTGGGCTGGCAGCAGTAGTAGGCTGTTCAGCTCGGTCTGGGCCAGACCCAGGAGGATGCGCTTGGAAAGCATGTTGAACTCGCAGTGGCTGGGATTATCATCCCCCGTGTCCCCCCGATACAGACATGCATCCTGCTCTAACCACCAGACCCCACTTCCCTCCCAGAGCTGCAGAGAGAACCCAGGAGTCCTGACTCCCAGCCCCCCTGCTCTAACCACTAGCCCCCGCTCCCCTCTGAGAACTGGGGAGAGACCCCTGGAGTCTTGGCTTCGTGCCCCCCCCCCCCCACATGCACACAGGTCAACCTCTCCCTTCCTCAATTTCACTTCCAAAGCTCTCTTCTCTCCCAGTGTCTGCTCTCTG